TTTTAACATAGAAGTTTAATCTTTGTAGTACAGGTAACTTTGTAAAATATATTTTGTATATTTTACGACTAACTTCAACAAGTTCCGTAAATACGTTTATAAGCAAGTCTATTCTGTTAAGTACCTACTACAGTAGACTTTCAATAGTGTGTTGAATTGAAAAAAGACAGTTGTTCATATTATAGATTTTTTCACATTAATTAATGTTATATCTTATATGTAATAAGATTCTATGATTGCCAAAATAAATACGAAAAATTGAGCATTCATTAAACAAACTCATCTAAAGCCAGTTCTGGTCGGGGGGATAATTTTTGCCCAGAAATTTCTGAAAGCGAATTATTAACTACGTACCTAGCTAATTGTAAAGCGAATATGACTGCGAGGAAGTACCAAATAAAATATTTTTTTTCTGCAATGGTGTAATCGCACCATCAAAATTTCGATTTTTAAGGTCGATGAGCGTTAGTTTCTGTAATCAAAGGTTTAGTTTCTTCACAAATACAACGTTATTGAGTATTCAATTAATGTAATTGTCACATTAAGCGGAGTTTCCGTAATGCAATCTTCACACTATCACGAGTCTACTGTAATATGTATCGATTCAGTTAAATAGCTAACATACTTATTAGGTGTATGGCACATGTTGAAAAACTTACTTAATATGTGCCAAAATAGTTAGTTATTTTTCTTTTTGGTGATTAATCAATTATACATCATTGTAATTCGAGATTATCACTTTTATGCTTCGTTCTCTATATAATGTGGTGTTTATTTCTTCAGTGTTTCGAGTCTTTTTTGTCTCTTTTACACAGTAGAAGGAGCCATTACTGTCTTTTCTGTTTTATTATAAGTTTTTCACTTCATCAGTCCCAATATACTTTCGTATGAACCCGATATGAGCGCAAATAAGGCAAAAAGCATGAGAGCTATGTTCTTCCAAAGTTTCCATTTTAGCGTTCCAAGCTCACCTTCCCAGGAAATGACAGTGTCAACAACAGCTGGGATGAATATTCCAAGCATGGAAAGGCAAATGGATCCGACTAAGCCAATGATTGGTTCTAAGTCCGGCACTAATGCAGCTACACCAACTGTCATAGAAACTAAGAGAGTTCTTAGTACAATTTGAGTTAAATTATGAAATTTCGTTGAAATATGTTTGCCTGTTATTCCCCAAGTTATCGAGTAAGCAACGTAGAACTGAAGACTGTAGGTGAAAAAGATGGCTAACGCCACTAAACATTTTACCACTTGGGCAAGTCTGTAAGAGAAAATATATTTAAGTATAAAATATATCCGTAAATATCTTGCTATGTCGTCACACTAAAAAGCAAAACGTAATCACAAGACGGCACATTAACTGTAATTATAAGCTGTAATAAATTTAAATATGACTACAATTTTATCTGGCATACTTTGTTATCGTTGACAAGCTAAAATGACCATTCGGTTTGCAATTATAATGCTACAAATGTGAAAAGCACCTTTTTTAGTTTTAGTGCAATAAAGAGAATGTATAAAAGATAAATTTTGTTGTAAAGTTTCTTATTTAATTAGCAGTTGTAATTAATTGCCACAAACCACCTTAAATATTTCACGTAAATAATAACTGTAATTAAGCAAAAATAAAAAATAATAATTCTAAAAGCGACTGCTCACATATATTTATTATACATCTGCACCATCTAAGAATCAACGTCCACATAATGCGAAACATTGTGAAAAATATTCTTAATTACCTTTTCAAGTCCAAAAAAATTTTTCCCCGACATCAGCACGCATCAGCAACGTTAAAAATAAGACTTTCCTCTTTGTTTGATACCGAACCTATTACACACATCACGAATTTGATTTATAAGTTACGTATGCGATCACATATTTTTGCAATCAGTTTAGGTACACTCGAATTAACATATATATGTAGTTAAAAAATATGGAATTGGGGAAATACGTAAGTGTATGTAAAATATTACGATAAATTTAAAATTATTAGTCTCATATTTCAATAATTTAATTGGGGTTGTACTTTTTCAATTGAAAAGTTTTCTTCCACCTTTACGGTAAATATATCTGTGAAAAATAATAATAGAGAAAGTTGAAGTATGTTCGAAATGTTTCTTCGATAATAGTGTGATGAAACCTTACTGTGGTGCGAAACTATGTATATATATAAGCATTTCATCAAAATCATGAATTACAAACTATACTGTGAGGTAAATCACTATAAAGTCTGGCCTTACATTTCATCAACTGGTAAGTTGTATGTGATGCTGCCTTCTGTTGCTTCTCCATACTTCAAGTATCCGAAGAATCCAATGACGCCATAGAGGACAACGACAGTAGCCATGGCAGTATTTAACACACCGGGACATCCCAAGAAATGATGGGGTTTTTTCATGTTGTTTTCGACCGGCATAACCAGACCAATTCCCTCCATAGCGAAAACGACGGTGCTAAGGAAGAGCGGAATTCGCGAAATAGGAGCCATAAGATTTTTGCCTTCCATTGTAAAGGAACCGTTGAACATATAGTACAACGTGATGGCGAATGAAATAACCAAGAAGATATTGGCAAGCATGGAAAAGGGCACCAAGTATTTCAATTCTCTCACTTGGCAAATCAATATCAGTAGGGGTAGGATGATTACCATGTACATCTGCACGCTCCAATTTAAATCGGGGTAATAATAATCAACTAGCTGCAAATTTAAGAAATTATTTTTTAAAATCGAAATTCTAAACAATGTAATGGTGGAACCCATTTTTGGGCCGTAATATACATATCTATACCTAGGCCCTATCTTCTGATATATTTTTAGTTCGCTTTTAGGTTTAGGTATATTTGTCTCAGAACCTCAGGTCGTGAAACAAATTTGGGCTTTTATTTATTTAACCACAAAATTTAAGAGGACGAAAATATTATTGTGAAACGAAAATCGTAGATCATAGATGATTTAATAACAACACTTTCTTTGCAGAGATCAAAATCTCCCCAGACAAAATTATTTAAAATAAAATACCAAATATATAACGTATTAATTATCATATAATTTAAGGATTTGTTCTTTTGTTAACGAAATAAGTTATTCCTTGAAAGTTATCTAACAATCATTTAAAGCAATTGGAGGCCCTAAGTTTTTGATAGACATAAATGTACAATTCAGAATTTGACTTTTGCAAACTTATTACTGTATGATCATATACGAGTGAAATTTTTAGCATTATGCTGGTAATCGTTTAAAAAAAATAATTTCAGTATCTATTTTTATCAAAAAAAAAAAAATGAGTGAAAACAACAATTTATTAAATCTTCACCTACTAATCCATTTTTGCAGTATATACTTGTTACTTTGTACGTATTATGATTAATTAATATTTATCATAACAGTTGTGACTGATAATCTTGATTAATAAGTACTTATCACGGCAGAGTTGAAATGCATTTTAATTGAAAAATCACCTTATTAATAAATAAATGTTTGATCTCTGTAATATTGTTATATGTATGTTACTTATAATCTACTTGCTAATATTTTGTGGTAATTGCGGTTAATTCACTAAACCAAATTAGTTTTGTCGTGAATCACTAATTTTACAGTAATATTGTTCCTATATGTGTAACTTGCTGACTTTATTGTGATTGTTTGAGGAAATTCCTGTCAGAAGAATCCTTCGGGTTATGCAATAAAAAAAGTTAAATAAACCAGTTTGAATCTCGCTTTATAGCAAATTGGAAAATTTCCAGAAGCTACTTTACTGTATAATTGATATTGGTGCAACTTCAACTACAACTTCATTTCTTCATTATAGGAGCTGATACATTTAGTTGTACGGTGTGATAAAAAAAATTAACATTTATTTGTTTAGGTATACATATATGTAGATACAGCGAATTGTCTTTTAATGTCGTTAAATTGACGCAATGTTTCAAAGAAATTCTTAAGACCATGCTGTATTTTTATTACATTCAGTTAATGTTAAAGTTATTAAAATCGTTAACTTTTAACTTACTTGTTGGATAGATCCTGATACGAAAACGACATACACACATATTCCCATGTAATATGTCACCACTAATGCAATGTCTACTGTCACCCTGAAAAATTTCCATTATATATTTCAGGCACATATACATACATCAGGAACGTAGCCAAAAATTAAGTAAATTAACAAATATTAATTAAGTACAAAAAAGTGGTAGCTGCTTCAATCATCATGAATGCACATGAACTGTTTTTATTTTTGTAACTTTGGAAAGAGAGGGTACAGAACTTTTAGTAAATATATGTATTATTTTGTAAACGTAAATGTTACATGTTTAAACTGAAAATAATTGCTTTACGATAGCATTTGCGATATATAAATGTTTTATAAACCTGTAAAATTTTTTATTCGTTTTTAAAGTTTAAAGCAAAACAACATTATACCATTTAAAAAATAAAAATACGCAAAGATAGCATTATTTTTAGTATTTTGTAGGTAAAAGCGGTGTGAAAACCATTAAGTTATACTGTGTATGCGTGATATTTTCTTAAAATATACCTGGCAGCTGGTGCAAATCTTTTCAGATTTTCCGGACCATATTCGAAAACTGCTTCGGCAGTTTCCGAGAATCCAAACGATGGAGTCTTCGCCTTCCTACATATTTTATGCGATGCCTTAACCTGAAACAAGAAAACCCATTCTGCAGAACCAGTTTTTCTTTTGAAACTAATTAGTTTTTCTAGAAAGTGCTCCACTGAACCTGAACTAAAATTTAATGCCATTGGCCTTTAAAACTCATACATATTACACATCCTACAAGAACTATGATTCATTTTTATCGGTCATGCAGTTTACCAACCCTTCGTGCTTTTCTGCATTTAGTATTTACCATTTGAAAATAACTAATTGAGAAACAGAATTTCAGAAAAGGTTTTCTTAACAACGGTAATCTTTAAGGGAAATTGTTAGCAAGTTTTATCAATTCAGTCAGGGAAAGTATACATAGTAGGAAAAGTGTTTAAAACTTTTTCAAGGCTTTTTGTGTTAATGTGTCACAAAAATTCTCAATTATTTTAAACTTATTCTTGAAAGTTCTTAAGTCTACAAACCTAGGCGAAACGTCGGACGTTGTTTTAAAAATTAATAAATATATATAGTAAATATTGTCCTTTACCGAGACGAAAATAAATCTTTCTGTCCCTTAGCAACAGAATTTTTTTTGATAAAAGGTACCCTATATCTTTTTATGTACCCCTGACAATTTGTGTACAAAATTTCATGATGACCAGCTGAGTAGTTAAGACGTAAAATCATAACAAACAAACAAATAAACATACAAACGACAAACTCACATTCTCATTCATAATATTAGGATTTCATTTAAATAGGACACAGGACAGTATGAATCAACTACTGTAATTAGCAGCAGTTTGTATGTTGTTGTCATAAGCCTAATTGCGTAGTCGTGACCTGATTGTTATGCGGCCATCGGCAATTCTAAATTGATGTTGTCCTTAAAAATGTTATGACACGTGGACGGCGATCAGGATCACAACAAAAGCGTGTAGAAAATAATATCTACTTATTAATTAAGAAGTATTTTTAACAAAAAACAAAACAAAAACTTTTTAGTTTACAGGATTTCGTATATTTTTAAAGAAAAACATAATAAAAAGCAGGTAAATATTATCCACCAATGATTTTACTATATATTTGTATACTAATGAAAGTTGACATTACTTGAGTTAGACTTTTCATAAAATTGCGCATAAACACATTTTTGCTCTTATGTCTTATCTGAAGGTATTTCGGTGTCAATTAACTTTTTTTCTATGATATACCTTTTATAAATGCGAAAATATCATCAATATAATCGGTTAAATAAAGGTGTTATGTATTAATGAAAAGTCGGTATGTTTTGATAACACGTAATCAAAAAATTATCTCACATCAACTGTACAATTATGTTCTACATAGATACAATGGTTTTGTACTTTTTTATTTTTGTAGGTACCTACAAGTAACATATGTTTTTTATGATGATCGTAATAGACGTTAGTACCATCAAGGCTGCAAACCTATAAATTACTATTACCTTTCCATGTTTATATCCCATATAGAGACTTATCCATTCAAATTATTTATTGAAATTGTAATTATATTCATGCTGGACTTCTGCAAGGATAGTCTGCAAATGTATCCTTGTAAGGTAAAGTGACGATTGATTAGAATCATAAATGAAGAAAAAGGTTGTTGTTAACTTAACTGCTTAAAAATTCAAGAATACGTGAAATAGATGCAAAAGTAACTTTTACAGCGAATTGTATTTAATAAGTACAAGAAAATCTATTGCAGTATGTAGGAACTCCCACTAAACGTTTTGTGGAATGCTGGGTTTTAATTATTTACCTATTCAGTTAAATTTAAGAATTACGTAAAGGGCCATTTAGTAGCAGATATGAGAAACTTACCATTTTTAGAAATAAATTTAGTTATCAAATAACTATATCTCATCCCACTACAGTGGTTAATTTTTTATATATGTAATAATCAAAATGTAAGCGTTTCGGAGTATTACCGATCTATCCTAAGCTTGACTAACACTTTTAAGTAAATCCCTAAGTACATTCTATGACTAGAGGACCAGGCTAGATACTTACGGAAAATACTTTCGATTGTGATAGTTCTCTACATGTAGATCAAAAGTTTCAATGGGCGCTAAGTCGTAAAAACTCATCTTTTTGAGATTGGATCCCTTAAAGTTGCATTCTTCCTTAAGGACTTTCAAGGTACAAATACATGTGTATTATACGTATTGAATACGTTCAAGTATACATATATGTGTATATATTGATGAGTTTTTACGACTTTTGAGTTACATGCCGAGAACTACCAGAATCGAAAGTTTCAAAAGAGTTTGAAGGAGAGCTACTTTCGTTAAGGATCTAGCGGGGTCCTTTCAAATAAGGATATCTTAACCAACTGTAATCTCCAATAATCCATAAGTTCCAATAGTCGTATAGGATAAAAAAAAATATTGTCTTGCTCTGATTTGGAACTTAATTTTGGAACGCATTTGGGGGTTTACAACAAAATTGAAGAAAATCAAATTTTAATGAAGAAATATCTGATAAAATATTAGAAAGACAATTTTCTTAAGATGTGGATAGTGTCTACAGTAAAAAAGATCAGGATCAATTTGGTTAATTGAACTTTCTTAGTTCTAGAGATAGTTAATAACATTTCCTCATGTCATACATACATATATTTCTTAATTTTAAACTTACGATTAGTTATCATCATGTTTCAGACAGTAAATTTTAATCAAAAAACGTAAATTGCGAAGTTTTAGCTACTGTGGCGTTTCGTTTTGGTTTTAATAGTAGTAAAGTATCTCTTATCAAACCAAAAGAGATTAATGTGGCATGCTCATCAAGCTTTATTAATTAAAATTGGAAGGTCGTTAACCGTAGTTTATAGTAAAGTCTGTCGGTAGAAAGGGAGGTAACATTTATTTTTTGGGTTTTAATTTTAGACCATCCCTGTATAATTCTTATTGGATTTATCAAACATTAGGTATTATTTATTATTATGATTATCGCTATTATTATGTTAAATAGGCTTTCCATTGCTATAGGTTGTCGAGTGATACGAACAAGTAAAAAGTATGTAATTAAATTATAGTGAAAATAATTAGTTGCGTTTTGTATCTCATTATTATATTTTCATGTTAAAACATCCAGTTGAAGAAACATTCTAGACCACAAACAAAAAGCTTCAATTTTTATCAGTTTTATCATCTTTTTTCTCCTTATTCGCGACATTGTTTTACTCTTTTAATTCGAGAACTTTAATCTATTAATTAGGTAGGATTACTGGGAATATAAAAAAATGGTAGCTAATAATCGGATTAAAAATTATTATGTACTCAAAGTATATTGTAGCAATAGTGTAAGAACAGGAACGTCTGGGCTTTATGATAACACACGTAGGTAATAAAGTTCACGTCTTATCAAAATTATCTATTATTGTAGTTCTTTATCTGATTAAAATATTAAAGGTATTACCGTATTGTCACGATTGAAGTGAAATATTGCTCCAGCATTTAACTAATCATCCGTTTGTGACACCAACTTATTCAAAAAAATATTTCTGGTTCTAATTGAAAGAATAAAGGTTAACAGCAATTTAAATCCAAATTCATACTGTCTTACGTAAAATCCAAGTGACTTAAAATTGTTTCAAGGTTTTTTGTTATTGCAATAGCTAATGTATGAGTTTTCCTAGTTTCCCTTCGTTGCATTTTCGTGATAATTTCTTACTGATACACGGATGTAGCTACTGTAGGGTTTGAACTTATACATTGAAAGTACTACTGTACAACTGTATTCAACTGTATATATCCTTTGACGATGCCTTTGCTTAATGCAAAATTATGACACGTTTTATTTAATGACACAAAAGTATCTATCTCTTTGTCCAAATCATGACTATTTCCGATTTTTTGCTTGATGAACATGCTAAATTACTTGGCTAAGAAAATTACATTTCCTGGCCAAGAGGCGGTGAAAAGGGGCATACACAACAGGGGAGAAAATAAACTTGCAGTCTGAAGTATTGTTTATTTTTTTTTTGTCTAGGTGCGTTATATAGTAAAATTCACGGAAGTCGGGTCGTTTTCTGTTATATCGAAAGTAAAATTTAAAACGATGTGACTCACTCTTGGCCTAAACAAAAATAAAATCTAGGTACGAGTACGACCCTGCATTTATGATCGTACTTACTTCCTTTTCTGCCAAGGCCTCTAACGCATAATAAATTCATGTGAGTATTTTGTGGCAATGTCATTAACAATCAGATTTTCAAAGCCAAATATCAGTTGTCGTAAAGGATAATTGTCAATAATGCAAATATTCATGAAGTCATTGAAAAAAATGTGTTTTATCAACATAATATGTAACAAACTAAACAACAATAAGGATTTTAATATTTTTAAATAGTCTTATAGGTGTTTAGAAGGACGACCTCCATTTGTGACAGTTACTGACGCACTTATTTTTAAAAAAAATATTTATAAACCGCGAAAAGTTTCTACACCATAAACTTCTTGGTTTGACCTGGGTCCTTTATTAGAAGTGAAAGAGTTATTTGCTATAAACAGGCACTTTTATTTTACTAGCTTGAAGTTTTTTTTGAAAGGAACTTTTGTGCAAGTAGTAAACAAATTCTATTTCTTATTGGAACATGTACTTCTACACGGAATGTTCTAGAAATCCTTCAAATTTTTCCGTTTTCTCATCAACGAAACGGAGCATAAAGATGAACGTAGCGAAACACATTAATAGAAAATCAATTAACGGTATTGAAGTGATTTTAAATTATTTGCCAAATGTTTTGAAAAGAGAAAGTGCAAAAGGTTTTTCATCGATTGTCGTGTACATTAATTACTGAATAAATTGAAATCATTTTCTTATTTCTGCAGTTAATGAAACTATATTACTATTAATAAATAAACAATATACTACTTAATAATACTAGCATCCATAATTTCCATCAACTTTACTTGGAAAATGATACAATTGTAGATAAAGAGGAATGATTTATAAATTATTTTCTATTTGTAATACACCCACACATTTTTAATGAAGCAATTAACAGAATATTTTTTCAGAGTAAAATTTTCATTTAATGAGGCTGACAGTTTGGCAGAGTTTGAGTACGTCTTTCAATATTAATATTTATTTTTGATGTAATTTTAATGCTTTGTTTAATTTGACGCACTATTAGTTCTACATTCAACAATATATCTGTAAGAATAGGTACTTTGAAACTGTCTCTAAATCATGTCCTAAATCAAGCTCTCATATAAGAAAGCCCAAAACTTTTTTCAATATGTATGTACAAGTACATGCATTTTAGTAACTGACGTATTCTGATTCTTGATTTCTGACGTTCATAAACCGTAGAACATGGCAACATTCAGGAAAGTAACTATTAAGAGTATTTGCAAATAAAAAGGTAAACTTTTTAATCAAATCTTTAAATAAATATTATTGCTACCGTTTTGTAATAAACTGTCCTAGATTCTTAAATAACAAGTGTTTGTTACAATATTAGACCAGAGGATAACCAGTCAAACACTTGACTTATTTGCACATTCTTTAAGTATTTCACCTTTAATACGTAAGTATAATTAATAAAACGTTAGCTAGATGGAATTTTCTTACTGTTTGCTAGAGATAAGCTACAATTCTTAAAAAGTTATTTAGGAAAAAAACCTGTTTACTTCCTTAATATTAGATACTTATAAATTTATATACTGTCTTCTATCTAACATTTACATACATGATATATGCACATTCTGTAATAAGTTATGAAATTTCGTTGAAATATGTTTGCCTGTTATTCCCCAAGTTATCGAGTAAGCAACGTAGAACTGAAGACTGTAGGTGAAAAAGATGGCTAACGCCACTAAACATTTTACCACTTGGGCAAGTCTGTAAGAGAAAATATATTTAAGTATAAAATATATCCGTAAATATCTTGCTATGTCGTCACACTAAAAAGCAAAACGTAATCACAAGACGGCACATTAACTGTAATTATAAGCTGTAATAAATTTAAATATGACTACAATTTTATCTGGCATACTTTGTTATCGTTGACAAGCTAAAATGACCATTCGGTTTGCAATTATAATGCTACAAATGTGAAAAGCACCTTTTTTAGTTTTAGTGCAATAAAGAGAATGTATAAAAGATAAATTTTGTTGTAAAGTTTCTTATTTAATTAGCAGTTGTAATTAATTGCCACAAACCACCTTAAATATTNATAAAATTTTCTTTAAAGAAATTATTAGCTGCCCCAAAAATGCGAAAATTTTATTAATTTTTATTTAAAAATGCTCGACTGTTAATACTTATCTTGTATTGCAAAGCGGTTTGTTCTCGTTTCGTACCTTCTCCTTTTGTACCTTACGCGAAAAATTATAGTTTCGTATCTTATACTTTTATTACCTAAGCCGAAGGATAGAATTATGCTCATTTCGTACCCTGATGAGGTCAGTTGTACCTAATTACACAAATATCCTAATTATTTTGTTTTCTGTCTCCAAAAAATTTTTGCCTTGACTCAATAATTTTCAACCTTTATTAGAAAACAATAAGATTCCATCTTCGGTCACACTATCTTAAAAAATAAACTCTTTGTATTTTTCAGGAATAACAATTTCCTTTCCATGCTTTGAAAGATTTTGAATCCCTAGAAAACTATGTCAAGCGAAATTTATTTCCATACATAAAAAACAACTTAATTACAGTCAGTATTCAACCATAAGGCATATCAACATTTTGCATCCTTAAAAAAGAGCGGCGGAAATTGAATTTACAAACATAATAAATAAAAAAGGTAATTTATGTAATTATCATTACAAAAAATTATAGCCATCATGTACCTATTCCAAATGATGTTATATATATATATATACATATGTACAAATGTACATTCTTGTTAGTGCTTCTAATTAAGAAATTCATTTTATTCTTATATGTAAATTTAACGACAGTTCCATATACAAACAATCCTTACATAATAGGTGATTAAATTTTGTTATAATCTGCATTTGAATATATGTCATTTTTCAACAGTATTGTTTTTCCTGATCTCTTATTCCTTAAAGTTAGTTTTTGATTTAAAAAGTTTTCTTCTTTAAAAAAAAAGGTTCTCTTTTGACTACAAAGCTGGCACAAAAGATGTATATATTTGAGTTTTACTCCAGGATGGTATTGCAATTATCATAACACACAATTACTCTTTGTTTGTCAATATGTTTTGGTTTCTAAAACCTTTTTGATCTTTTAATACCGTAGGAGTATTGTGGATAAGTACTGCAGGTAACAATATAACAATCACGATACAAATGATATTTTACTATAAAATCCTCTGCTTAAAATGATCGCCATAATCAACTATCTGATATTACAACCAAGGCCTGAAGTTAATAAATGCAATTACTTGCTCAATACCTACCAGTTATTTTATGGTTTTGTATGGATTCAGCCTTGCCTGCTTTATACACATTGACTTCGTGGAATGACACATGCAGTCATCAATACCGATTTACATTTTGTAAATGTCATACTTATTACCTTTTTATTATTAACTCACAAACAATAAACTGTACTTGCAGTAGTAAAAAAGAGGACAAAAAATTGTTTTTATGTAAACGATGAAAATAAAAATATCATTACGAATTATAACACGTAAATTACATGTTTGTGACAAATGTGGGTCATACTAAAGTCAACTGCCAAGTGACGATGCAAGAGGCATTATTACCGCAAGTTAATTATCGCGGGGGATTCCCAACATGGAAAATATTTCTTTTTTCTTAATCCCTTGTCATGGATATCAAACGAACAGTACGATGATTAGAATAATTTGTTATAGAACTAAGACAATATAAAAGAAACGAATAAAAATAATGCATTAAAATTTTGAATACAAATTTCCCGGTGTTCCCATCAAATAAAGGGAGTAACGCATATTATTCGAAAAGTCCTGTACAAAAATATAAAAAACTATAGTTATAGGTTTTTTCATGTTGTATGTAACAATTAATTGTTCTACTGTTGTTTTTGTGATGTATGTCGTACATAATCTGTAAGTATAAATTATAAAAATTGCAATAAAAGAAAGAAGTAGTTTTTCTGTAAAACAACGGTTAAAATACATTTTTAAGTTAACACTATATCGAAATGATTTGCTGTGCAGTCATACAATTGTTTCACAGTCTAATTTACATTTGTTTGTTTATAAGATCACAGTCTTATTCGAGAATGGCGTTTTTGCTCAAATAACCTTTCATTATCATTTGACCGAATGTATATCTTTCGTTAGAAACGATCAGAATGAGACATCATTGTAGCAAAATGGCTTTCGGTATTTCGGTCGATTAATTTTACGTGTAGTTTCGGCTCGATTTACGCTAAAATAATGGTTAAAAAATGTGCATAACTGCTAAAGGATATTGTAGTGGGTGGTTTATGTAAGTACTATGTTATATATTAAGTGATAGTTAATTATATATGTATATTCCATTGCCTTATATAAATTAGCAAAGGAAGTACTTATATCCTTTTATTGCCTTTATTAAATGTAGCGAGGTTTCAAGATACTAAGCGATCAATTTTTCATTTTTAAACGATAAAATTATTATCTAAATATACAGTATTAATTGTTTAATCCAAATATTTTGTTATTATAGGTATATCATTTTCTAATACAAATAAATATACATAATACAAATCGATCAAATTATCAGTTATTATTATCATTAATTAAATGTGCAAACAGGTCCTGGAATACGAAGGTTTGAGTATTTTTATGCGAATAATTAACATTTGTTTAATCATATTTATGAAAATTTACAGAAAATCGGATTATTTTAGGCCAAAATGGGATTAACCGTAAGGTACATTTGTTTTAATACTAAATACATCAATAACTATACTTTACCTAAGTAGGCACTTTACTTTTTTTATTTATCTGTAAGATTGAAAAACTGCTTCCTTTGTTCTTAGTAACATTCTTTATATAACAAATGACAAAAGAACAATACGTTTAAGCACTTTAGGTACTAATTGCTTAGATTTGTTAAAAAATAGAATTAACAGCTTAATTATTGTACCTACTCTATTATGATAAAATGAGTAAGTCACTGTACAAATCGTTTATGGGTAGAACGATTGTACTTATTAATGAAGAAATTACTAATTTACTCTGGTTCGATTTTTTAGTTTGGTTCTGTCTTTATCAGGCATTATTATTATTAATTTCATATTTGGAAAATTATTATTAAAATGAATTAATTTTTTGAGGAAACTAACGAAACGTTTTGAAGGAGTATTTATGTAATTTTATTTTTCAGAACAGAAATTCCATTCGAGGTGGTTGTTGATCCAGCAGAAATTCGGTAAGTTTTTCAAATGATATGAATTTATTATGTGGTTTCAATATTTTGTTTATTCTGATACATCTTTGGTGCTATGTTTATTCGATATTCAAATTAAAATATATCCGTTTCGCATGTGTGGAATTCGTAATGAAAAATACAGAGTGGAAAACTTCTTCCATAAATGATAGCTGATAATATATTTAGTATAATCTTGTAGGCTTTCACGGCCGGAGTCTATACGATGAAGATTTTCCGCACTAACGAGCCGTGGTCTAGTGGAATTTTTATTTCTTCCAGATATTTCGTTCGAAACTGCGCCCAACATTTTCAATGGAGACGGTGGTGGTTGCTTCGTAGTATTCTTCACCATCAACCACCACCGTCTCAATTGAAAATGTTCGGCGCAGTTTCGAACGAAACGTCTGGAAGAAATAAAAATTCCACTTGACCACGGATCGTTAGCCCGGAAAATCTTCATCGTATAAAATATTTAGTATCTAGTAGTAAACAATCCGTAATTCTACTTCTTGCATTTAAATGGTTTCCAAATAAATATAAAAACATCGTACGCTGACGTAATAAGAAAATAGTTAATACTTTTTGCGATAATGTTTTGAATTTCGTTCAAGGTAGGCATTGTCCGCATTCCAAAGCGGTAGGTATAATTTGTATTCCTCGAGATGATAATTTTTCATACTTCGTACACTAACAAAAAAATTTGTTAAAATTTGTATGACAGTATTATAGATACATCTGTTATTATAAAAAGACAACAACATATTTTTAAAAACAAGAAATTGATAAATTTTCCGCAAAAATTACTTCGAAAAGTATTTTCTATTTTATTTGTGTGAGCATAAATCTTCGTATCACCTTCACTGGATACATACCTGTTGTATGCGTATTATGTGTGATACAACATTCACTTTCATTGACTTATAAACGATGTAATACTTTAGCAGGTAGCAATTAATTTGTGTAATAAGCCAGTGGATAATATTTGTTTACTTTATGCAAATCATTTGCAAAAAAACTTGTCCACAAAAGTTTGCATACCCATAAATATTAAGTGTTATTACATAAAACCATCGAACTCGGTATTTAACGTAAAACGTTTTAAGTCAACCGGTTGGAACTGGTAATTTGAGGTCACAGATGTCTCGTCGTATATTATTTATAATAAAAGGTAAAAAATGTTAAATAGTCCTATTGTTGCAAATCCTGTCCCGTTGTAAAGTAAAATATTTTCCATTTATTCCCCTTTGTGATCTCTGATTATTTTCGTATTTTATAAAAATCATTAACGACATTGATGTAGTTTTTTCAACCATCATCAAATTGTTTTAAATTTGTATTAAATAGAAATCAGAAAAGGTAAATACACAAATTATTTCGATCAGCGCCTTTTGTAATTAGGTAGCGCAGAGGAATTTGTCAAATAGGTAATTGTTATCAGTTATTGGTAGGAATATAAGACAGTGATTAAAGACAATAAACTTACCAATATGTGAACGCAGTGGGTACAGACGATTCCTACAAGAAGGGTTCCAATAAAACCAAAAAGAAGACCACCATTTTTGAAGGCGTTTGGCATAGCCAAAATACCTGTACCCAACGAACTCTTTAAAAGATGAGCTAAAGCCCCGAATGTTCTGAAAACAATAAAAATAATTATCTTTATGATAAATGTAAATCAAAAATAGTATAGGGAAAGTAAGGAAAAATAAAGTAGGGAAAGAGTGAATATAAGAATAAGGGACGAAGAATTAGAAGAAGTGACCGAAAAAGCGAGATAGGTTGGTAGGGCACCTTCTCAGACATGAAGGACTAGTTAGAAACATATTATAAGCAGGAAAAAACGAGCTGAGAGGAATAGAGGTAGACCTAGATTGGCTTACAGTTCACAAATAATTAAAAGGATGTTGTAGTTTTAGGGAAATGCGAAGATTAAATCAGGATAGGAGGTGCGTGTTCAATCAGTCTTAAGACTGACGAGTTTATGATGATGATGATTACCTTTATGGTATACAATACATTTTTTATTGTACTATATTTTTAATTTGTGGAATTTGTAGTTTAAAACACACATAATAGTTCACGTTTAGCGAAGGGTATTTTTTATTTTACCTATGTGATTTTATATTTTTTTTAATGAACTCATCAATTGTCATAGCAATATTTGTTTAAATGGTCTTATTAAGTAGGAGTTTCAATTGCGGTAATCTATACGAATTTATGAATGGGTAGGTCCAAAAATAGTTTATTGGTCAATAAACGCTAATAGATTAAAGTACAATAACTTATGTACAATAGCGTTTAAGTACCTAACGCATAAATCAATAAAGGCTGTAAATAGTTGTTTCGCAATCCAAGAAATGAATGAAACTAGATATATTATAAAACATAACTTTGTTAACTAGAAAAAAAAAAAGAAATTTACCCTATGACTACATTTAGTTATTTAGAACTTGTTTTAATTTTAAGGACTAGGGAAAAATTGTAATTTATATCATTAAGCAGCGCCGTTAGGTAGGCTTTTACAGGCAAAGTTTTTATTAATAATCCATTAACGATGGATTTATAACAATAATAATAACGATAATTTCTTATAAATACTTGACTCTGGGCTATCCTCTGCTTTATATCCGCACTACTTCTACTACCGTCCTGACTTCCTAGATACCTATAAAATCAGTTTTTTCGTCTCCTATCTTTATATTCGCACTTTCTCTACTTTCTCCTCCCCTGCATACCAGTATTTTTGTTTTAGTTTTGTTTATTTTCTTATAATAATGTTTTGTCAATACCGCTTCCATTTTATCTCTAACTCCTCTTTGCTAGACTGCTATATATTCTGCAAATGTATGCATACTAATCTTTTGCCCCTATATATCTATCCCTTCAGTTGTATTGTCTTTAATGATGTTGATCGCGTCTTCGATGTATAGATAGATTTGACATGTAGACACATTTAATTAGGGCGCTATTATTTATTCAACTTTTGTAATTTTCGGGGGTGAAAAAACACGACCCTTCCTATCAACTACGCACCTGAATAAATTTACGAAAAGAGAATCTGACAATGTATAGAGATCCACTTGCATAGGTTCATTTGCATTTGTGTGTGCCGTTGTCGATTAAAGAAAGATAACAATTTTACAGTTTTGTAAGATTTTGAATGTTTAAAAAGAAAGTAGACCGGATCATAGGTATATAGTTATTTATATTCATTCCTTCTTCTTCTTCTTCTTATGTATTGAAATAAATTATTTTCTTTGAGAAACTGCAGCAGCATGCATGATTACTGATTAGTTTCGAAATCCTTATTGGTTTTCTTTTACTTTATGGCTGATTGCATTATGTTGCAAGACTCAAGAGACAACAAAATAAACGAAAGCTATTTTAATTAGTAAGTAAAAGTAAACACGTGTTTGATCAGTATAGTAGATTCATTCTTACATCGTGTACCTTGAGAGATATTATGTAAGGTTTTAATCTTAACGATTATCTACCATATATTGCAGTAACTACATTTGTTTGTAATTGAATACACATTAAATTTAACAAGATAGGAAAAATTATTTGTTAGGGAAGATTTGACATTTTTCGTGGACACTTACGAATTCGGATGCTCCAATTGTCGATGGTCAAATGGGTTATAGTCATTGAGAGTTTCTTTACTGCCAACTGGTACCTTGACCTCGTTGCTTTCCAATTTAGTTCTGCAAAAGAATAGAACAATAAGATTCTTCAGATTCTTGCATAACTTTTGACTAAAAACAGTCACGTAAATATTAGAATTTTGATTAAGAAGAATGGAGTGTTTGGCGGTTTCAACGACCGAAGAATTTTTCAGTTAACAATGTTCCTCAGGGATTGAAGAGTACTTTTTTCTTTAGTCCCTGGTTGTTTTTGGCATTTAGATTTGAGATATTTAGGGTGCTCTATTTTCTACCAGATTTTTAACAAAAACAAAAAGTAGACAAAGGCCCCACTGTTAATTCTTCTATTTTTATGTCGGTATTGAACAATAACACTGCAGATTAGTGAAAACAATTTTATAATTTTACAAAATTCTCAGGAATCATCATAGCAATAACGATCAAGATCACAATGTGCTGAATGCTTCATTGTTATTGAGTTATTGTTTTGTTTGGATGTATGCAATTAAATGTAATTTTTCAAAGAAACATTTTCAAAACCGCAATAAAATAATCACACTAAAATTTTAAAAATGTATGGAGAAATATTTGAAAATATCAAGTCAATAATTTTATTAATTAGCGTTCTCCTTACTGTCCTTATTGTATTAGCAACATTCAATGTTGCTATTTGAACAATTTTTATGACTTGGTTTATTAGCTTAAAACAGCAATTCACTGATTTTGTAATAATACTCCTACTTGATACATCCTGTTTGTGAATCATTCTGTACATAATTATTCGCGTTTTTTCACATTTCTGGTCGAATAAGATCGCATTTATATCATTTTGATTTTGTTTGTTGAATGGTTATCGTAAAAATTAATGGACATAGTATAGTTATAATTTTGATCTTAATTAAAAAAAAAAAAGAATTTCTTGTTGTCTATGATAAGGTAGCAATCGTTTAAACAGATAAGGTAATTCCAGTGGTAAATCATGTATTACGATAATCTTTGAAACATGTAATTAATGATAAGTTTTATTAGGCAGGTAAATATATAGAAAGCACCTGCTGTTTAATTTTATTGCATCCATAATCCATATACTGGCGAAGAGATGTAAACCTTTTTTTTAACTGGGAGTTTGGCATTTAGGTTTTTTAATGATTATTTTTTTCGTAATACGAGTTCAAATTCTGCAAAAATTGCTAAATCTTGTTTTAAGTAGGACAAGGTAGGTATCTACCTATACGTATATTTTATTTTGCAAATACTCAAAACCGTATCGTCTGAGAGTGTAAAAATTTCCATTCGAAGATTTTATCACGTTATAATTTTCATTAAAATTTCGAGTATTTTTGAAAACAGATAAATATGGTTTGATAATTATTTAATAACCCATCCAAGTATCCTAAAAATTATGGTTCTTGTTTTTATTATTCATCTTTCTTCTTAGTTTAGATTTAGTTTAGAAATAGGTAAACATGGTTTGAATAATTATTTTTGGAACATTTTCTTGCTGTAATTCATTAATGTTTCGTATGTTAAAGTTTTGATTAGGCCTTCAGCATTCATTGAAATTCATTATACAAAACAACAAAGCATAAACAATAAANTTTAAGTAAAATTAAACCGATTTAAATTTGTGTAGTTTGCGTCAATTACAAATGAAAGGCTAATTTAAAAAATTTAATAAAAACCATATTTTAATATTTTGAGTTTAAGATAATATTGTATTTTTTGACCTTGCCATTGCTAATAATATTCATGAAATGTAGAAGATATTGTGCAGCAGTGGAAACTCACTTATAAAAAAATCGTCAAATTGCAAGGTTTCTGACGTGAATATGATGACGTCTTCAACCACAGGCTGTATTTTACTGAAGAACCTGTCTATATATACTTAATTAATTCAGAATTTCGTTATTGTTACGTTAGTTTGTTCGAATTAATAATTCATTGTGGATTGAAAAGGTTTTGTAGAAGTACAGAAAAAGGCGACAATCGTAAGATAAAAACTGAAGTGCCACTAAAAGGAAACCGATGAGAAACAATATGCTATATGACAAAATTTTTCCAATTTTTTTTATTATCAATGTCAAGTATTCTAAAAATCCCTGTTGCAATCGATTTTTTTGAAAAGAAGGAAAATTGACTGATACAAATGTAACTCACGTTCTTGTTAGGGATTACAGAATTAAAAATGAATAAGCGATATGTCAATCTATACTTAATGTATATGTATAGTGAAGAATTTTGCAATAAAAAAAGGCTAGGCACTGTATTTGTGTCACTCATAACGAAGGTCGCATTGTTGCCTTAGTTTCTGCACTTGTTTCTATGATGTAGTACCTACATACATTTTACATAAATTGTAAGATTATGTAACCCAGTTAGATAGACTATTTTTGTTGATATTCCATTTTATATTTTGCTATATGTTTTTTAGCCCTAAATATCTATAATTTGCATATTAAATATTTGCATTTTTTGGACTAAAATATAATGGTTTGACCTTAATTAAATGTTGATGTTCAGGATCATGAAGGGACAGAGATAGCTTTTATTCATCCTTAAAACGATTAAAATAATGTTGAAGATTGTAAATGACTAGAAAGCGTTTAAATCATCTATATATTTTACACAATAACAAAGAGTTCTTATTTATATTTATTGAAGCACGTTTTAAATGTATTAAAATTTTAACAAGAAAAAAAGAAAAGGTATAGGGTTTTAAAAGTTACATATTATTTTCTTTCTTTTGGTAATAATTTCACAAAATTTTCATAAATCGTGTACAAAATTAGTAGAGAGGTGTAACTTTAACCATAAAATAGGATAATAAAACTTTTCGGTAATTTTTGTTATAAAATATGATATAAACATCACTTTTACGTAATATTGTTATACTTGTTTCAATTTGATAATTTCAATTGTTTTCGAGAAAACTGCAGTTGAACTTTTCAGAATCTTGGAAAAGATTTTCAAATAATGTAACTTGTAATGCGTAATAATAAACAAATAGGTTAATAAAAATAACAAAACCTCATCCTATTTTTATGCTTTTTCTAATTCTACCAATTAAGGAGTTTCTGACATTAAAAAAATTTTGAAGTTCTGACTAATGCACATTAGGTATTATTATTAAATATTATTATTGCATGTACAGGTGCATAAAAATAGCTTATAATTAAGGGTCCTTTGTGGCCTTGACTGTCTACTTATTAACAAGTTTTTTTAAGTGTATGCCAAACAGAAACATGTTGACAAGTAAATTGTTATTGAACCTGTGTGTAGGTGCTTTTTAAATTCTTTTTTTTATTTAGTTCTCTAGTGAGATATTTCAAAAAATATTTGTATCTTCAATAAAAATTTAGAATCCTTGACATTGTAACTAATAACAATGAATTTCTTCTGTGTGGATCCACTGCTTATCTATGCACATAAAGCCGCCGAAGTTACAGTAATTTCCATTTTAAAAACACTTTAAATTCGTTATTGCAACAGTTACACCAGTGAGTACTTATACATTTTTTTTGCCGACATATGCAATGATTAAAAATTAATTGCTTTCTCAATTCCGAAAATTTTAAGCTGATATATCAGGTATCAGTTGTTGAAGTATCCTTTTAAAATTGTGTATATCTGTTATAATTAATTATTGCACTTACGTTGAACTGAAGTTGTCGATGGTGAAGGTTGAAGGATATTTTTCTTTCTCCTCGGTCATTTCGCACTCAGTTCTGAAAACGAAAGAAAAAGATAATAGTCACGAAGTTCGTTCCCCAAACCACAAAATACGCCGAAAAGTAAAACAACACTGCCTGAATCTTAATTAAAACGGAAAACTTGCTTTAACTCGCAATGATCTAAAATTGTTTTTCTAGCAAAAGTGAAAGATCAAAGTATTTATTGTCACTAGGTATATCGTGAGATTTAAAAAACTGTTTTCTTTCGGTTGACTTAATATTTGTGTTGCATGAAAAGAGAAAGTATATACAATGTACCTACATAAGTACAAAGACAAGAACAGTAGATACGTCATAGGATGCAATTTTGTTATTAAGTAATAATGTATTAAATCGTCATTACATAAAGTTGTTTGTTTCAAATAAGAGGTAGGCACTTTAGAAGCACCATGAAGGGGCTGCTTTAAACAAAATTTGCAATGATCACTTTTACGATCCACAATGTAGGAGTATTAACAAATGTCATAGGTTATTATTAATAATTAATTCATAAAGTACTTAAGGTGTATTTCTTTACATAAATAATTGCCCATTATATATTAGCAACAATACAAATAATGAACGTTTAGTAACAGTTTATTTATAAATATGTATTTCGTTTCTTAATGTATGTTGCTTTTGGAACGATGAAATTTCATGAAAATCCAAGGTACGGACTTGAGTCGTCATCTTAGAATTTCAAAAATTTTCCTTAATCTTTTGTATTAAAATAAATAGTATGATTTAGTCTACAATCATTGGGACGGAAAGTAACAGTTATAATTTTGATTTTTAAATATTTAAGATATTATTTTATTTACAAAACCCATTATTTATTCTCTATCTCATGAAAGAACGAACTAACGTCACTGCAGGCAGATGCAGAAAAGTACGTAATATTGATGATCTAATAGTAGTAGTAATGTCCTTAACTTCATCATACGGAAATTGGTAGAGGTAATTTAGATCGGTATGAACCTTGGACTTGGGTTACGTAAAGACAAAACTCTTCTCGTTCATTGGTTTCAGCCAATTTCTACCACCTAAATACATCCACCCTTATTATTTACAGTCCTATAGTAAGGAACACGAATCACATTATTTGGCCCAAATATTAATTTGAAGCCAAATCCCAAATAGAAAGAAAATGAAGTTTTGCGTCTCATTTAGTAAACTTAGTATGGTTTTGGTTTAATTCTTACATTCACAACATCCAAGAAGAAAATAAACAAAGCAGTACTTTTCATATTAACTTTCATATGTCAGATTATTTCAATTGGTAGAAGACAAAAGTCGTTTTGCATTTTTTATCGTGTTAGCCTTGAATTAAAATGAAACAATATTGCTAGTCGTTAGCTATAGTTGTTAGTGATAGGCTGGTCGTTGATAAATAAAAATAAAATCATTAATGGCACGGGGTAAAACCTTATCCTACGATTCATACAATGTTTTTAGTTTACTGTTCCCTAATTAGCCGTTGTTTCTTTTTCTTATGTTAAAACTACGTTTATGGTTTTGGTTTTGTCTAAAGGCCGTAGAGGTTTCTTTGATTTCTCTTCATAGCGGCGCCGGGCGCGTGGAATGCCGATCCATGCTTCACGCGCCGTGTAAAGGTCATGTTACATGACGCGTGAATTGCCGATCCACGCTCGTGTAACATGACCTTAACATCGCCTAAACTTGCTTACAATTTAGCCAAGTTTCATCCGAATCAAAAAGACAAAAATTACTTTTATCTTAACTATAAATTGAATTTATTAGTTGATTGATTTAATTTAAATTGTAATATAAAAAATTTGAATTAAAAGCAGATGTAAATATATCTAGTTGCCTTTATTCCTAATGGCATACCGCTCATCTGTCCACGAAACGACTGGCCAAACACCTGCCAGTGTCCTTNTAAAAGCAGATGTAAATATATAGAGATTATTACAGTTTACTTAGTAAATTCCAATGTTTCCTTCGTTAATTTAGTAATTTACAACTAAATCTATTCTCCTTAGGTTGCATACGAGTGAAAAGCCCCTTATTGATTCTTTTCACAATTCATTTTTCTCCGCGATAGATACATTTACAAAAATATTAACTTTAGTGTATTGTTCAACTCAACAATTATTTCAAAAGCTTTTTCATTTGATTTTCACGTGTATCTGCGTTTTATCACGATTTTTCGTTCGTAATTAATAACTATGTATACATATCAATCTGAAAATGATCTATTGATTGAGGCCATACATCTTCCGACAAACGTAGACATATCGAAGCAATTTAAAAAAGTCTTTATTGAAAATTACTGATAACATACAATATTTTTGCGTCACCATATCATTTAAAACTATTTTGAAGTAGATGTAGCAACTAATTTTCGCTTAAACAATTGAATTGATAATACAGGTACTTGACATTTATATTTCTATCGACTCGAGAGAGGTATCTTTTCCATTGCTAAATATTATTACTAATTTTGTTTTACTATTTGAGTAAAATTTAGTTTATAATCAAAATTATGTATTTATTATACTTATTTGTTGCACGTATTTGTAACTATTCGTAAATTAGGAAGACGTTATCTTAATTTTTATTCTATCAATTTTTAAGACACTATCGATCTGAGTCTACTGGGTGTTTAAAAAGCCGTCGGTAGTTCTTTAATTATAAGCAAAGCATGATCGTCAAAATGCTTCATGAATTTAGAGATATTTGTCTGTTGTGCTTACGAGGAAAACATGAAAAAGGTAATTGAAAATTCAGTAAGTTTTGTTATTAAATTTAAAAAGAATTATTAGAATTTAATTTTTTAATAGCATAGCCTGTTATATTTATTTTAACCAAGGGGTTCGTCGATATCATTTGGTCCATTGCTACTACCTCCTATTTATGATCCTGCTATCGAACATTGACATTTACAACACATCCAACACGTCAAAAAATTGGTGAACATCCTTTAACATCCTTTAATTGGATGTTTAGTTATTCAACTAATTACAAATTTAGACCTGCGCAGAACACATTATAACATAGCGATATGTTTATTAAAAGGTAAACCAGTGTTCTTAAGTATAATATGTGTTAATTAATTTCGAGCTGCAAAAATGTGCTTATGTTATAACGAAAACTAAAAAATGATTTGCTTTGGTATTAAAATTTCAGAAAAGATCATGGGCAAATAATTGCTATTTACTGTTCATTATAATCAGACACAGTTGCACTCGGTAATTATTCACGAATCAACAAAATTTATTAAATTATCGTAGATCACTGCACCGAGTAAATTTAATATTAAATACCTTAACATTAACACAATAGCCTCACCTTATCTCATTCGCTAAATTGTAATAAAATGTAAAAACGCGTACCTATGTATAATATGGGATTAAAAGATGTTGATGCAACATTTACGTTATAAAAGGTAGCAAACAGTAAACGATTATTAAGCCTTCATGGAAATTAAGCAATGTGAACCTACTATTTTGCTACTTTTTTTACTTAAATTGATTGATACACTTGTATAATTTAATTATATTGTACATTAGCGATTAACGATTAATCAGTTACATTAAATTGCCGTCGAAACTTTTAATTAACTTTTATCATGATAAGCAATGACTTCAAGGCGCCCTCTTCCCCCTCTTATCGAAACAAATTTTCCGAAGTTAAAGGTATACACCTTACGATTTTCGATTGTAATAAAATTTTGTTTTGGTTGAAAGTAGAAAGCAAATATATTGTGGAATTATAACAAAAGTATAAGTATAACATTGTTACGTACCGTTATTTAAAGTTCCAAAACTTTTCAAGAACGTCCGAAATTTTGATTTAAACACATTAAGTTTGCGTACGTAGATGCCGGTACACTTAAAAATCACTACTGAACGAGTGCTAATTAAAAGGAGAATGTACAAAGGTATAAAGAGTAACGAATAAAATGTAGCACCTGAGAGATAGGAAATATATATAAGTGGGGAGATCAACCAGATACTACTTACACTTTCGGGGGAACACTGTGTGCACTATCTGTCTATAATGTTCTTATATATTTGTTTGTTAGAACAAAAGCTAACGTTAAACGTTATATCTGCCATATGAGTGCATCGCCTTTTTATGTCCCGAGTTAGTCAAACAGAAAATAAACAAATTACACAAATGTATTTTTTGAATTCCAGGTACTTTAAAATCCTTATTTATATGCGGTAAAAAAATAATGAGAATTTTTGCTTTTTTTAAATAAAATGTTTAACGTGACTGAGAATACTAATTTTGAGCATTATAAATTATTTTTTTTACACATATAGATACTTTTAAATATTTAATATTCTGCAGAAGTACGGCCGTTTTTTTTGGCGTTCATTTTTTGCACATTGTAGTACGTGCACAACAGCTTTTCTTCTTGATGCTTTTCTTATAAATGATTACATCTTTCTTC